GATCATGGCTATCAAGGGGTTACTTTATCAATACCTTCTTTAATATTATTTGAAGCCAATATGTATCACCATGAAACAGAAGGAAAGAATTTAATCCAGTAAGTTGAAATCTTCCATAATCCTACCCAACCTGATTTCATTCAAATTTTTATTTACGGAAGTGAGGAGAGATATACCTTAGGAGGAAGAGCACTTCCAGCTTTCTCACAACCCATACTGTCTACTGGTGCATCTTCAGAAGACCTCATTTTGCGGATCCCTTCAAGGACTTTCTCCCAGTTAGCAGGTGGTTTACCTGTGTCAACTGAAAGGAACTTAAGCTTATTTACACTGACATGTAAGAAAGATATTTAAATCGGAAAACCAGTTGATTGATAGTTCCTTTTCCTCCTACTAGAGGCAGACATTGTCCTTCTCTGCTACAATTAGGGTTAGCTTTATGTGCAATTATTCAAATTCAAAAATCCTCTTCATCATTTGCCACTCTTGGAAAGTATACATAATATATTTTGACGGTAAACCTATTGAGGGAATCCTCTTTGTTTCCTAACATGCTTGGCCAACAATCATGATATTTTACGATGGTAAACCTATTGGTTAGCATGACCAAAGGAGGTTATAAAAAAGAAAAGAGTGAAAAATGTCCCACTCAACTCATTCGTCATCAATCCTAACTTTAACAACTAGTCACTTTTTTTTTTTTTTGAGAGAGCTACTAGTCAGTATTTGTTAATCCTGAGATATAGTTGTGATTTCATGCTTCATCAATACAAGTCAGCATTCAGTCTAAGAGTGTTGGCCCAAATAAAAGATGTTGCACATATGTATACTGCGTGCCAAACTTCCGAAAAACGGCAACATATTTTTACTAGTGCAAAAAGGAATAATTAAGGAAAAGAGATTGTCTCAAAATCTAACATGGCAAAAACATAATTTACGTTCTTTTTATCTTAAAAGGGTGGTGGAGGGAGAAGTATATTTGTACAAAGGCCCAAGTTTTTACCTATATAGTTTCTTTCACTTACAAAAGAAAAGGTTCTTTGTCTACCTTTGTTATTATTGTCATTACAGGGAGAGCCCCCTCTCAACCAGTCATACAGCATACTTCACAGTTAATTCTTTTTTTCTTTCATGACACAAAAGATTAAAACTGAAAGAATAAAAAGACCACAGGGTTAAATTTGCAGATGTATTTCTTAAGATGAAACCTCATCATGAAAGGTGCAAAGATTCCCACTAGTAAGAAATTCTGACAGAAACATAAAGTTCTTCATTAACAAAAAAAATAGAGTGCTAAAAATTCATCAAAGTACTTAGTCCTGTAATAAAGAAGGCAAGACGAAATGAAATGCTCAAGAAAGAAGAGAACACATGCAATAAGCAACACATTCAGTGTATCAATTCGAAATGATAAATGCACAAGGACTGCTCAAAAAACAACAATATTTTTTAGCTAGGACAGAGTTCAATTCACAAACAATTTCTTAATGAATGGAATCCACTGGTATGAACGGAAAGTGCTTCATAACTATTTTCATCTTGTCATCTATAAGCAAGAGCCCTTTTCACCAGGAAACTAAATACACCTAATCATGTGTTGTCAAAAGAGGTACTTACTTGAATTTGTAGATGCACTCACTTTTGTATATGTGAATTCTTCAATGTCAGGTGGGGCAGCGAGCTGCACGGAAGGAACTGATGATGTGAATTATGACTACTCCTTGCTTAAAACTATGCAAGATTAGCTTCAAGATTGCACCATACATCATTGATCCAATTAATGCCACTCAACCTTGAGCAGTTGGTTATGGTTTTAGTTTAGCTCCACATTTTCTATATTGACTAAAAGTAAGTTTATTTAGTCCAACTAGACGCAAGATGAAACCAATTAGCCAGTAACAGGTGCATTAACTCACATACCATTTCATACAAAATGAAATAATTTATAGCTTAAACTTCATTACTATAAAGTGAGACTCCTTTTCTGGATGCCGAATATCACAGTCAAAACAAAATGGTTAT